ACTTCCTGGTGCAGTGTGAATACATTACTCACTGCACCATCGCCATATATACCACAGCAACAATGGAATTAATCGTGAACCTCCCTGGTGCGAGGCGAACACGCTCCTCACTGCACCATCGCCCATATATACCACACCTACAATGGAATTGATCCTCAAAACTTCTTGGTGCGAGGCAAACATGTTACTACTGCACCACCGCCATATATACCACAGCAACAATGGAATTGATCCCCAAACCTCCCTGGTGCGAGGCAAACACGCTACTCACTGCACCTTTGCCCATATACCACACCTACAATGGAATTGATCGCTGAACCTATCTGATGCGAGGCGAACATGTCACTCACTGCACCGTGTTGATCCCCAAACTTCCATGGTGCAAGGCGAAAATGCTATTCACTGCACCGTCGCCCATTTATTCAACACCTACAATGGTGTTGAGCCCAGAACTTCCATGGTGCAAGGCGAACATGGTATTCGCTGCACCATCGTCCATATATACCACACCTATAATGCAGTTGATTACCACATCTCTCTGGTGCGAGGCAAACATGCTACTCACTGCACCATCGCAAATATATACCACATCTACAATGGAATTGATCCTTGAAACTCTGGGGTGTGAGGCGGACAGGCTACTCACTGTACCATCCCGCTAGACAGGTGCAGTCGGGCGATTATTTTGTTTTTGTAGTTTGGTGTTAGTGCGGAATCCCCTGTAACTGCGAAATCACCCTGACTGGTTTATTCCAGATGGCCCCCCTATCGGCACTGCAGGAACCTGTTGATTTTTCAATGGGTAATTATGTTAATGAGCGTTCTAATTGACAATCATCTAAGCCAATCACAACGTTTCTTCAACTGACCTCTGACCGAGAAGACGTCGGCCGATAAATTTGTAGCAGCCATTTTTTTAATTTTACGACTAGTACAAGTCACTTTTTACACATTGTGATGAATAAGAAACGACGACTACGACAAACTCGTATTTCAACGTGCCGACATGTTGGGTCTGCAGTGTGAACTTTAGCATGTTGACCTCATTATGCACATATTTCCGCGCCCACTAACTTTAATATTTGCATCATGAATATTTAATAGCAATGAATTTCCTGCAGTCGGGTTGATTTCGCGCTAACACCTCCATTTCGCGTTTTTTTCAAACTACAAAAACAAATTAATCGTCGCAACTGCGCCAGTCTACAATCCCCCATGTATACCAAACACACAATGGAATTGATCCCCGAACCTCCGTGGAGTGAGACGAATATGCTACTCATGCACCGTCACT